TCTGGTTTCTGCCGTTCTCTCTGGCTTTCGGCCGGAAAGGCGGAAACCAGAGAGCTCTCTGGTTTCCGCGGCCGGAAACCAGGGAAAAGCTCACTGGTTTCCGGCCAGAAACCAGAGCCACTGGTTTCTGGCCAGAAACCAGTGAAGAGATGGTGTTGTTGAATGTTGTTGAAGGAGGAAGTCTGGCGTTTGTGCGTGTGTTTAGAAGATGAAAAATGACTTCCCCCTCAACCCTCATTTTTCATTGACTATCCACCATTTTCCTTTGACCACTTCATTTTCCGCCTACCCAAACACCAGAAATCATTTTCCGAGTTTAAGACTAAAGTTAAGGGAATGTCTGAAAAAAAAAAAAAAAATAGTAGATCATCACCACTAACTCAATTTTATATTTTTATTATAAAAATGTTGTCTTATGTTGTTTTGCCTATATCAACTCACTCAACAACAACTTTTATCAAATATTTTTAATTTTAATTATCTATATAAAAAATAATTCAATTTCTAACAGTTAATTTTTCAATCTTCAAATTAAAGCAGCTTCTCACCAACAAAAATATACAGATGGAATGCCACGTTTTAGAAATGAGATAATATGGTGGCAGTGGAGAGCATATAGAGGATATGATTAAATTAAGGAGTGTGGTCCATTCACTCCAATTATTTATTGTGGTGAAGTTGGATCTCATCCAATTCAATTGAATGAGTGACAAACATCTTACAAAATGAACACTGACAACATTTAATTCAAACAAACCAACCCATCAAATGGTCCCCCCGAGGCCCGAGCTGTCATGAAATCGATTCCCCCTTATTCAAATTTCAAAGCATCCAATTCACCCATTAATGCTTACCCCCAATACCCCTAAAGAATGTGTACAAACCCCTAGTATGACACGTTTAAAACAGTAAACATTGAATTTTAATGGCAAATGCTTATATTTCTTAGAGCATCTACATCAGTGTATATTTCACAGTTTTAAAGGATAAAAGTGTCAACATGAAAAAGAGGGGGGGGGGAGAAAGAAGCATTCTGTTTCTATCAATTTTCAGCATTCTTTTTGCTTTTTATTATTTTATTTCTTTTTAGTCTCAACCTTATCTCACATTCTCTTTCCTAATCATTCTTACATTCTCTTTCCTAATCATTCTTACATTCTCCCCCTCATATCCCCAACTCATAATGTTGCTCTTATGAAAATTACTATATAATATTAATTACATTATTTATTCATTAAGGACTGTGATCCATTCACTCCAATTATTTATTGGGGTGAAGTTGGATCTCATCCAATTCAATTGAACACAACATTTAATTCAAACAAACAAACCCATCAAATGGTCCCCCTTATTCGAATTTGAAAGCATCCAATTCACCCATTAATGCTTACCCCCAATACCACCAAAGAATGTGTACAAACCCCTATTATGACACGTTTAAAATAGTAAACATTGAATTTTAATGGCAAATGGCCGGTTATATTTCTTATGAAAATCACTATATAATGTTAATTACATTATTTACCTATTGTTTTAATATGTACCTTTTTATATTTGATTGTTTTATGAACTATTTATTAATTTATAATGAGATTAGTATATTCACAAATGGTTAATGAAAATAAATATTTTTTAATTAATAATTAATAATATTTTTTTGCAACACTCATGGTTCTATACTTCTATACAAGATTGTGTATGTTCATCACCAGAGTTCGATTTTGTGACCACCCATTTAAAATTGTAATAGAGTTACCATTTAATAAAGAAGAATATTGGTCCTGTTTGCCATTTGCAATCGTTATTGACTTATTGTGTGGACCATGGTTCACACAAACTGTATGGATCATATTTTGTATGTTATAGAATAATGTACATTTAATACCAAAATAATGTACTTTTAGTATATTAAAAATGTACTTTGTATTAAGGAAAATTACATTTTTTGAATACTAAAAAGTGAATTATTTTTTATAATCTACATTCAATACAAAAATAATGTACTTTTAGTATATTAAAATGTACTTTCTTTCATGGTCCACACAATAATTTGCCCCTAGTTTGGTAACATTTATTTCTTTGGCTCTTATTATAGGCCTAACTTCTTTTGGCTCTTATTAGTATAGTATATAGTAGATGTTGTCTTATGTTGATTTGCCTATATCAACTCACTCAACAACAAATTTTATCAAATATTTTTAATTTTAATTATCGATATAAAAAAAATATTTCAATTATTTCTAACAGTTAATTTTTCAATCTTCAAATTAAAGCAGCTTTTCACCAACACAAAACTTGATCACCAACAAAAAAACACAGATGGAATGCCACGTTTTAGAAAAGAGATAATACGGTGGCAGGGAGAGCATATAGAGGATATGATTAAATTAAGCCCATTGCCATCACTATTCATTAAGGAGCGTGGTCCATTCACTCCAATTATTTATTGTGTTGATGTTGATTGCCATGCATGCCGCAAATTATGTCGTGAACACAAGTCAAAACGACGTCGTTTTTAAGCAAAAAAAAAAAAAAATCGCGAATGTGGAGTTAACGGCGCGTTACTGATCAAATTATGAATTTTCTGTTATGAGATTATGAATTTTATGAAAATTCATAATCGCATAACAGAAAATTCATAATCTCACAACTGAAAATTCATAATCTCATAACAGAAAATTCATAATCTTATAACAGAAAATTCATAATCTCATGGTTCCAAAGTAAATATGTAGGCATGGTTCCAAAGTGAATGTGCAGGCATGGATTCATAATTTATGAAAGTCCGTGATTTCGGACGGGAATATGTAGGCATGGTTCCAAAGTGAATGTGCATGCATGAATTCATAATTTATGAATGTCCGAAACTCCGAAATTATGAATGTAATGAAAATTCATAATCTCATAACAGAAAATTCATAATCGCATAACAGAAAATTCATAATCTCATAACTGAAAATTCATAATCTCATAACAGAAAATTCATAATCTCATAACAGAAAATTCATAATCTCATGGTTCCAAAGTGAATGTGTAGGCATGGTTCCAAAGTGAATGTGTAGGCAGTCACGTAATTAATTAAAAAAAAAAAAAAAAAAAAAAAAAAAAAGATAACGGTGCACTAACACCGTTGGAACCGTGTTCACCATGAATGGTGAACACGGTTCCATGGCATAACGTCTGCATGCATGCATGCACACACTTTGATTTATTCTTTATTTTTTATTAAAATAATAAGTGTATAATTTATTAATTAAAATTTAACTATTTAACGAATATTTTTAATACAATCACAAATATAAAAATCATTAAAGACCAATGATCTTATTAAAAAAAAAAAAAGATCAGCCAAGACCAATGACCAATCAATACACAATTAAAATTTTTTACTTCGTTTAAAAAAAAAAAAAAAAAAAAAAAAAAAAAAAAAAAAAAAAAAAAAAAAACAAACAAACAACTTTTAAAACATGATTCTATTAATTGTCTAATTTTAAAAAAGTTAAATTACTGGTCCAATTTTGACTGATTTGTCAAATTACTGGACCAATTTTGACTGATTTGTCAATTACAATTCTGGACCGATTGTGACAGATTTGTCAATTAAATTACTGGACCAATTTTGACAAATATGTCAAATTACTGGATCAATTTTGACTGATTTGTCAATTAAAATACTGGACCGATTGTGACAGATTTGTCAATTAAATTACTGGACGAATTTTGATAGATTTGTCAAGTAAATCAGTGAAATTAGTGTTTGATAATAGTGAATTACATTAACATTAGACAAGAAAGTTAACCATCTAAATCAGTAAAAATAATATCATTATTAACTCTTATACGCTAATATAATCCGCTAATTTTGCAAACAAGATCTTAGTTCAAAAGACTATTTTGCAGTAATTTATACTATTAATTTATATTTATATAACACAGTTAAATATCATGCATTATATATGCGATTAAATAAATGACCAATGAGGAAAAAAATTATTAATTAAAATAAAATGCACTTAGTACAAGAAAATGTTGTAGTTTTCTCAAATAGTCTTTTGAACTATTAAATAAATATAAATTTATTGTAAACAAAATTGAAAAACAAAGTTAAGAATTTCTATGTAATTAACAATCGAGTAATACCAGGACTATGTGGTCTAATGGTATCCGGGTTGGATTTTCATTTGAAAGATTATGAGTTCAAGCTTCAGTGGAGGCGTTATTGGTTCTTTGTGTTTCAGTAGGTTAAGAAAGTATACGAACACATACTACAATGTAATAGAGCTAGTAGTTTTCAAAAAAAAAAAAAAAAAAAAAAAAAAAAAAAAAAAAAAAAACAATCGAGTAATAAGACCGATGGTTTGGTACTAAAAGCTAACGGAGTGTTTTGTTTAAAAAATATTTTGAGGTAAAGTAATATATTTTTTGAAAATTTCACAAAACTTAAAAATGTAAAGGCCGGGATTGTACTTTCTATGAATGTTAATTACAAAAATGAACTAAAACAAATGTTGACAATTTCGCATTTCCTAATTTTTTAAAAGGATGGACCATTTTTTTTTAATTTTTTTTTTTTATTATTATTATTATTATTATTATTATTATTATTAATGTTATTATTATTATTATTTTCATTTTCTATACGTACTCCTAACTAATTAATACAAATGTGGAAACTTATATGTCCTTGAAATTACACATAATTTTTTTTTTTAATAACGAGAAAACTCGCATTCACCACCTGATAGTGTATACGAAGTAAACCATACCTTGTGATCTTAGTCACTGGAGAATCACAATGAAGTAAATCAACCTAGTTTTTTCATTATATTGTTGATAAGGTAATTCCAATTCAAGAAAGTCAATAGATTATTTCGATCTCTTGAGTGAAACTTGTAACCTTGTTACAAGCCAATAGTCTAAACCTTTGTATGGATTGGTATAGTGATGTCAACATGCATGGTAGAGTCTCAAAATTGTGACTTATAAATACTTCACTTACTGATGATATAGTGACACACAGCATTCCCATTATTTCTCCTAAATAAGCAAAAACCCTCTTTTGTTCTCAACTACTAACGATGGCTTCTTCTTCTTCTTCTTCTTCTGTTCGTTTGGTTGCAATTGCTTCACTCTTGGTGATGCTCTTCATGGCCTCTGGTTTGCTCTCTCCCTTTCTGACTTTCTCCATTATTATTATTATTTTTTGATGATTGATGTGAGTGCTAATTATCGGATCTGATATAATTCTGCAGGAATGGGAACAATGGCTGCCGGTACCAGAATGTGCACGTCGGAGAGTGAACACTACAGGGGGAATTGTCTTTTAATCAACCAAAATTCCCGCAACAACTGCAATAGAATTTGCAGGGATACAGAGGGGTTTACCTCCGGGGATTGCACCATTACCGGTCAGGCAAGGCGCATCTGCAGCTGCTTCAGACCTTGCAGCTGCTACAATAAATAACCAACATTGCTTGCTTCAACTTCAATTCGATCAGTGTTTATATATATAGCTAAATAAATGTCCCAAATAATATAATCCAAACATGCTTTGGTAGCTGGGATGCTCCGATCCTCTCATGTTACGTTGTTTGTATTTGGTTGCTACATATATATATGTGTATGTATGTATCAACATGTAGTGTGTTTCAATCGTTTGAAGTTATGCAATTTCTAATCTGTGTTTTCTAATATGTTATTTTTATACATATAGTACAGTGTTGAAAACTGCCCACGTACTGCAACAAATAATTTTTAATATTTTGCTCTACGCACGTACAAATATATAATTTTTTTTTCTTTGGTGTTAGAAAAACATTTCATTAGAGTCTTCGAATACGACGCTAGTTGATTAACATAAAATGAGAAAAAAAATATAAATTAAAGCTTTTGTGATTTTCTTCTGAGTGGATCATCATATTCATCATATGCCTTATCATCATATGTCCTTGGTGGTGGTCTTCTTGGTTGATGTTATGCTCTATAGTCCATATCATCTTCGTTCGTAACTATATGGGTGAGAAATTAATGTTGAGCATTATAGCTTCCCCTTGGTTGCTATATCCTTCTTGGTCCTCATAGTAATCATCTAGCTTGTTGATATCTTGCTTAAGAATACATCAACTTGGACCACCCTACAATCACAACGATAAGAGAAAGATTTTGCAACTAGAAGTAGTGTAATGGAAATTTCAAGTAGAGCAAACCAACAAATGAAACAACACACTAAGACAACTAAAACAAACAAAAAATAGGTGCAAACGAACAAAAGAGACAAAACAAGCTAAGGTAAAGTGCAAAAAAAAAAAAAAAAAAAAAAAAAAAAAAAAAAAGTAAAACGGGGCGGTGAACGGTTAGATATTAACGTGAACTAACATGAACTTGAATAACGAGGAACCTGACTCGTGATAGCAGAAGCTTTAAGACCTTCTGAATATCCCTCGCCATAGTCGTAGGAATTGTCAGCCATGATGGTAAACTTGCAGAATAGACGCTAGTGTTTTGTCTACCACTTCTCTCCCGAATACCTGATGGTGGTGCATGCTGAACACGGGAGTTTTGGGAGGACTATTTTGCTTAAAAGCCTACATGTCATCAACATAGGCAGATATTCATTTAAAGCTACATTGAATATCCTCAGTTACCTAATACTCTAATAGATTAAGTCACCAATTAACTCAATCCCCTACTTGCACCACAGCCACCCAATAATACAATATATTATATTTAGGAAAAATACTTACATTCTCCCACTTGGTGCAAGTACTGACACAACCTTTGTTAAAGAACAAAACACAGGAACCATAGAAATACGTCCTTTACTGATCAAGTGAGTAATATCTTCTATGATCACATGCATCTAGATTCCCTAACTTAGGTTCATTATGAGCAAACCCTACATTTATTCTTAGTCACTTAATGGATATTTCTAAAAAATGTATATGCGAAACTAAAAGAAACCATCCAAATTCTACAAAAGAGTACATTGTATGATCTCTAATATCCTTAAAAAGCATGCCTTAAATAGAGATTTCTTAATGTTAGCATAATGCTAGCTAACTATATTCTATGAGTTCTTTATAAGTTAGCTTAAACACTACCTCTAACGGCTAAGAGTTTGGAGTTGACATTTCTGTCACTCCCACTCATCAAAATAGCCAAAAGATAGTCGTAGAAGCATTCCAATAACTTAGACAACAAACCAAAAGTGTAAGTCCATAAATTTGGAAACTTAAACATACACCATAACTTCCCAAATAATCTCAAGGTCCACCTCAAAATTAACTTAACATTACGAGTCTTACTTATATGTCTTGCAAAATTGTTTAATTTTGATCCTTACAAATCAAAATGGCCTAGGATCAATTTTGAAGAAACTAAAGACTCTATTAATTGCTAAAGAATTTATTAATTGGCAGTGCACCACAAGTTAAATGCTTTCGTTCTAATAAATTCTTTAATATTGTTACAACATTTTCATAAATATGTTGCACAACCAAGCGTTCAATAAATTTGAACTTATGAATTATAAGAACAAAACTTATATTAATACTTGTGGAAACATTTAGACTTATTGTTAGATGCACAATCCAATTTGGAATGTATGAAGACAATTAAATCAATTAGCTTTAGTGGAGTATTTTAATGACCTTTTTCTAAATGATCACTCCCTGATTAAGATATTCTTTAGCCAAATTATTAAAGATGTAACACTCATAATTGATTTGACCAACTAAATAATGAGGATATAATTCCCCACCATTAGTTGGGCATACTAAATAATCAATATTTGGTTCTAATTATAGTCCAACTAAAGGAATAACTAATGAGGACATAATTCCCCACCATAGTTGAACATACTAAAATAAGGCCATTATATAATAATTATTAAAATGGCGGATTTGTTAAAATTTTGGCGAATTTATCAATAATCAAACAAGGCCATTATATAATAATTATTATGACAATTAACAAATTAATTGTATAGATATTAAAATTCGTTGAAAAGTGGAAAAATGATTTCTGAAAAATGAGTTATTTTTCAGAAAATATTTATTTTTCCAATGTTTGGCACGGGCTCCCCTTTGTAAATGATGTGGATCATTTATATTCCACATCGAAAATGTTTGGAAAGAGGAGCTCTTGAATTCCTCTATATAATAGGAGCAATGCTCATCTTTCAAACATAATTGCTTGCACATCAACGCGGGCAAGTATTGAGAAGCCAAAAAGCTCGTATTTAGAAGTCTTAAAGGCTTCTTATTTTAGTTTAAAAAAAATATTGCTATTAGGGGGTTTGGGAAAGAGTAAACCACAATGTATATGCTTTGTTTTAGTTTTTAGTAGTTTGGAGCAATATTTTTGATGTTTTGATTAAAGACAAAATGTTAAAATGGGAGATTTGTATAAATTTTGGCATATTTGTCAATAATCAAAAGCCATTATCTAATAATTATTATGGCATTTAACAAATTAGTGGTACATATATTAAAGTTTGTTTGAAAAGTAGGAAAATGAGTTATTTTTCAGAAAATATTTTTTCTCTTAAATGTTTAGTTATACAACAGAAAATTGTTTAAAAAGAAATTTATATTATTATTATTATTATTATTATTATTATTATCATTATTATTATGTAATAATGTAATAAAAAATTAAATTACAATAATAATTATATAAATAATATAATAATAATCAAAACAAAATTATATACAAAATAAAATTAAAATTAAAATTAAAAAATACAAAGGGGAGCGTGGATCCCTTTGTAAATGATGTGAGATCATTTTGATCACACCTTTAAAATATTTGGAAAGAGGAGGTCTTGAACTCCTCTATATAAGAGGAGCAATGCTAATTGCTTGCCCATCAACGTGAGTAAGTATTCAGAAGCCAAAAGACTCTTTTTTAAGAAGTCTGAATGACTTCTTATTTTAAGTTTTTTAAAAAAAAAAAAAAAAGTTTTGGGAAAAGATTAATCTTAATCTTTCCCAAAATGTATATGTGTTGTTTTTGGTTTTAGCAGTTTGGAACATATTGTTGAGTTATTAAATAATATTTTTGGCGTTTTGATTAAAGACAAAATGTAAAAATGACGGATTTGTTAAAATTTTGATGAATTTGTCAATAGTGAAACATTATCTAATAATTATTATGGCTTTCAAAAAAAAATCTAATAATTATTATGGAAATTAATAAAGTAATTATATAGATATTAAAGTACGTTTGGAAAGTATGAAAATGATTTCTGAAAAATGAGTTATTTTTCAGAAATTTTTTTTTTTCAATGTTTGGCTGCACAGCATAAAACTATCTTTGTGTATTTGATTCATTTTTCAGAAAATGTCTTTGTGTATTTGGTTCATTTTTCAGAAAATAAACAAGAAAATGAGTAGAATTGTATATACTTAAATATTTTAATTGTTATATATCCAAAAAAATATTTTTATATCTCCCAAATTATTACTATATGAATCTAATAATTATTATGGTAATTAAGCTAATAATTACACATTGTAATAGAGCCAGTAGCATTAAAAAAAAAAAAAAAGCTAATAATTACACACATAATATTATAATTGATTAATAATTATTATGTTAATCAAGCTAATTATTTCCATAATAATAATAATATAATTACAATTATGTAATAATAAGTGTATAGCTAAAAGGAAATTTATATTATTATTATTATTATTATAAAATAATAATGTAATAATAAAATAAAATTACAGTAGTAATCATATTAATAATATAATAATAATTATCAAACAAAATTATATAGAAAATAAAATTAAAATTAAAAAAAAAAAGGGGGGGGGGGGGGGGGGGGGGTGTGGGACTCGTGCTCCCCTTTGTAAATGATGTGGGATCATTTTGAACCCACATAAAAAATGTTTGAAAAGATGAGCTTTTGAGCTCCTCTATATTGCTCATCTTCCAAACATAATTGCTTGCTATCAACGTGGACAAGTATTGGGAAACCAAAAGGTTCTTATTTAAGAAGCCTTAGCTTAATGGCTTCTTATTTTAGTTTTTTTTTTTTTAAATTTATATTAGGGGTTTTTGGGAAAAGATTAATCTTAATCTTTTATCAAAATGTATATGTGTTGTTTTAGTTTTTAGCAGTTTGGAGCAAATTGATGAGTTATCAAATAATATTTTTGGTGCTTAGATTAAAGACAAAACGTTAAAATGACGAATTTGTTAAAAGTTTGGTGAATTTGTCATAATCAAACAAGGCCATTATCTTATAATTATTATGGCAATTAACAAATTAATTGTACAGATATTAATGTTCGTTTAGAAAGTAGGAAAATGATTTCTAGAAAATGGGTTATTTTTCAGTAAATATTTTTCTTTTCAATGTTTGGTTGCACAACAGAAAATTGTCTTTGTATCTTTGATTCATTTTTCAGAAAACGTCTTTGTCTATTTTGTTCATTTTTCAGAAAATGAACAGAAAAATGAGTAGAATTGTATACTTAAACATTTTAATTGTTATATATCCAAAAAAAAAAAAATTATTGTTTTGTTTATAATATAACATTATTTTAAATTTCATGAAACATAAGTTTTGGTTGTATTTAGTGGAGGAGCAATTTTTATCAATTTTAAGAAACCTTAATGGCTTATTATTTTATATTTTTTTAAATTTATTTATTTATTAGGGGGTTTTGGAAAATATTAATATTAATTTTTCCCCAAAATGTATATGTGTTGTTTTAGTTTTTA